GCTGAAGAGGCAGAGAGACTCCTGGACGAGGCACAAGCGCAACTCCCAGAAGAGGCGCCCATTCTGCGAGTGCAATGCAGAGAGGTGCGATGACAAGCAAACTTAACAGGACCCCCCTAAACAGATATGATTTATATAACTTCCAGGATGTTGTTGATGATTTGTACCTCATTGTTCCCAAGTATCCAACGTTATAATCTGTTTTAGGATTCCTATATCCACAAACGTCAGCACAAGAACTCCGAGAAATGATAATTTGGCTCTTGGGATCCCTTTTTTTTCCGTGAGTTGTGAATGTTTGACAAATCCTGTTGATGCATGTTGCTAAATTACTACGAAAGCCAGCCGGGAAGCTGGCTAGTTGCTATTTGCGAACGAAGTGAGAATAGAGGATCTGGGGGGGGGGTAGTTGCCAAACGGGTCAAAAATCGGGAACATAGGTTGTAATTTTAGTCTGACGCTAGTATGGTTTTACAGGGTAATGTACCAGGCGGCAAAACAGTGACGGTGGGTATCGATTCCCCCTAGGTCCGATTTTCTGGGGGTTTCTGGGCGCGGTCAATGGACAGATAGATGGAACAGCTAGTTAGAGGAGATTGGAGAGAGAAGGACATTGGGTGAAAAGTATGTCCAAGAAGGGTTTCTGGGTGAAGAGCCTCTGGGTGCAAAGTATATGGGTGAAAAGTCTGTGCAAGAAGAGTTTCTGGGTGAAGAGTCTTTGGGTGAAAAGTATATGGGTGAAAAGTACGTGCAAGAAAAGTTTCTGGGTGAAAAGTATATGGGTGAAAAGTCTGTGCAAGAAGAGTTTCTGGGTGAAGAGTCTCTGAGTAAAAAGTATATGGGAGAAAAGCATGTGCAAGAAGAGTTTCTGGGTGAAGAGTCTGTGGGTGAAAAATCTGTGCAAAAAGAGTTTCTGGGTGAAGAGTCTCTGGGTGAAAAGTATATTGGTGAAAAGTATGTGCAAGAAGAGTTTCTGGGTGAAGAGTCTCTGGGTGAAAAGTATATGTGTGAAAAGTATGTGCAAGAAGAGTTTCTGGGTGAAGAGTCTCTGGGTGAAAAGTATATGGGTGAAAAGTATGTGCAAGAAGAGTTTCTGGGTGAAGAGTCTCTGGAAGAAAAGTATATGGGTGAAAAGTATGTGCAAGAAGAGTTTCTTGGTGAAGAGTCTCTGGGTGAAAAATCTATGGGTGAAAAGTATTTGTAAGAAGAGTTTCTGGGCGAAGAGTCTCTGGGTGAAAAGTATATGGGTGAAAAGTATGTGCAAGAAGAGTTTCTGGGTGAAAAGTCTGTGCAAGAAGAGTTTCTGGGTGAAGAGTCTCTGGGTGAAAAGTATATGGGTGAAAAGTATGTGCAAGAAGAGTTTCTGGGTGAAAAGTCTGTGCAATAAGAGTGTCTGGGTGAAGAGTCTCTGGGTGAAAAGTATGTGCAAGAAGGGTTTCTGGGTGAAGAGTCTCTGGGTGAAAAATATTGGGGAACATAGGGATAGATGGGATGCTGGCTTTCGTTCCCCCCTTCTCAGGTTGAATGTGCACAATGCATCTTTTTTGCCGGGTGAGAAAGATGCATTTCTGAGTCGGAAATGGGGCATCAAATCCATAAATTTCAGTTGTGCCAACCGCTTCACCATGCCCCTCACCGTGCCCCATGATTTTTCCAGGCCGCAGTGGGGACCACCCTTGCACAGGCAAGATTCCGCAAGCATTTATCCAATTTATCCTGTGATGGTGTAGTTGGCCAAGTTGGCTAAGTTGGCTAAGCGGTTAAATATGGTTAAATCCTGTTGATCAAGGAGTTCACCATGTGGCCTTCTGTGTCGGAACAGTCCAATTTAAGGCTTGATATCAACCTTTCCCAGGTGTTTCCAGTATACTGGCTTTCCAGTACCTGAAATCTTGGAATTGTTCTGAAATCTTGCAGTGCATGAGCAGCAAAACTCTCACCCTGTTGCCTAGGCTGAGATTGGAGAACCTCATCTCTACTTCACACTGCGAGACAAGCCAGCCATCTTGGAGAGAACTGCGGACATCGCCTACCACGGCCACATCAAGGAGGAAGAAGGGTTGGACTGCTACGTGTCGTTTCCTGGCAAATATGCAGCCGGTTGGGATGCATTGATCAAGGAACACCACGGACAATCCGTGGCATGCGTGTTCCTATGCACTCCAGCTGATGGTTTGGGAATGCACCACAAAGGTCCTAGTGGTGATTGCTACTGCCACACAATTTATGGGCAGCGGGACTTTAGAACCTTTGGTTACTTGAAAGAGTTGCCAGCATCTTGCAGCAAAGACGAGATGAAGATAGAGGTAGAGAAAGCAGAGGCAACCAACACTGTCGTTGTTCGCGTAGATGCCACGAGGGAAACCAAACAAGAAGCTGAACAAAAAGCACGAAAAGCTTGGGAGGACAGTGGCCGAGTTGCCTCCTGGGGGTGCCAATGGTTCCACACATGGAAGGAACAGGTGGCACAGGCGGTGAAGTTGAGACAACGTCTCAAGGTAGTGTTCTTTCCGTAGCCATTTTGGCTCAAGCCATTTTGGCTCAAGCCGTTGCTCAAGGTTTGTAGCCAAGCAAATAGGCATTTCGGGCGCGCTTTTAAAGCCATGGCGGGCTTGTTCAAAGCCATGCTGGCGGTGCTGGCCCTGTGCTGCGGAGGTGAGATGAACAGAGATGACGATGGACAATGGTTTGTGCAATGCCGGGTGTATTGCATCTTACTCACTGTCCCTTTTTTTGCGCTAGCTACTTCGTGAGTTATCAATTCGTTGCATTGAATTTGAATTTTGACGTCCTTGCAATCTTTTCTGGTGTGTGTATGGGTATGGCTGCGGTTTCAAGACGTTTGTGCAGTAAAGCCGGTAAGATTGAATGGATGATGCAAAGTTGGAGCCGGATTTTCCACATCGTGAACTTGGTGAGGAAAACTGTGTGTGGGAGAAAAGTGTGGTGGCCTCTCTTGAAGATTATGGTGATTTTAACAGGTTGTGCTTGTTTTTGCTGGCTTGAGTCACCGTGGAGCTTCAAGTTCTATCAGCGCTTCGTGGCTATGTGGTCCACTGCTTGGATGCATTTGTGGGACCTTTGGGGCTCCTTTGCTGCTTTTGTATTCTTCCACGTCAAAGCCATGATTTTGCAGACTCATGCTTCGTGTGTTTCTGGACACACCGTGGATGGTTTTCAGGCAACTCCTGGATTCAAAATACCGGTGAATTGCGTTGCGCAGATGGTTGACACGGATTTCAAACCAACTTGGAATCATGGTTTGCTGTCAGCTGTGGCGATGATGTCTTATTATTTCGTGACCCTTTGGCAATTTTGCTCCACTAGGACATGCAAGCTTGTTTCATGGGGGAGCGTTTTTGCAATGATGATTTCTGGGTTGGTTTTCTGCAACCGATCTCTTTGCCATGTCACGCAAAGGCCTCAGATTGCTGAGGTTGTCTCTGCAGTGTCACAGTGGTGCCAGCAGTTTCAATTCACAGGTGCCGATCTTGTTTGTTTAGGCCTCAGTTTAATTTGTGTGCGATGTTTCTGACAAGCCGTCATTTGGAGTTTCCAAACCAGACATGATGCTTCTGTTGCATACATGCAGAAGCACTTTTTGCGAAATGCCGCGGTCGTATTTTGCTTGCATACTTGTTTGTCCAATCCGACCAGCCTCTCTTTCGTTTTCGCCGGGGCCTACAAGGTCCTTGTCCTGATGTGCGGAAAGAAGAGAATAGTAGGTTGTGGAATAGCACTCCTTGGCATCATGCTCATGCGAATGTTGTTTTCAATGCATCGGTTCCTCACATGGAATGCACAGAAAGCGCTGCTGTGGTTCTGTCATCTGGCATGCAAGATCATGGTCATCGCTTTCTTTTCCGAAAGCTGTTGACTGAACCTTCTTTTGTGAATCTGCTTTTGATTGGTTTAGGGGTTGACTTCATCGATTTGGTGACATTAGCTGTTTTCAGGATAATGCTGTCACTTCACCATTTGAATGCAAGGCCAAAGAAAGTCTTCAAGTGCAGAAGAGTTGGCCGAAAGCGCTGCCGATTGCATCGTAAGTGCATCCGAAAGCCAAGAGTCAGTTTGTTTAATAGGGTAGGCCGTTTCCTGTCCTTTTGCGTACGTGCGCAGTTTTGCCCATTCTGTCAAAACATGCCTGAGCATTCGCAAACCTCCCGGCCCAGATCTTCCTTCCGCGGGGGAGGTCGTAGAAACAGTCCAGGGACACCGGAACAGAAACTGCTGCAAGGTTTGCAGATTTTGTTGAAAGATACTTTGCAGGCCTCTAGCTCCGGAGCCTCAAACAAAAAAGGCAAGGGTAAGGGCTCCGGCAAAAGTAGTGGTAAAAGCCTACCTTCCAAACAGAGAGATGCGAACCATGATGGCAGCTATGGGCTGATTCAAGCCTTGCAAAAGCTAACTGCCCGAGCCGCAAAGAAACCACAAGGGTTGCTCCAAAGGTTGAAAACATTGGTTCAAGTTACTGAACGTGGTATGTTGCGACCAAACAAGAGAAAGAAAGATCTGCCGCCGCATGAGGCGGCCCCGCCAGTGAAACCAAGCACACGATTCAAAAGTTCAGAGAATTTGGTAGATGGTGCTCCTAAGCCAAAAACACGATGGCAACGCGACAGATCCTGGAAAGCCCGTGCCCAGGACTGGGGCGTCAAAACTGTTTTGCGTGGCCCCACAGCTCTGTGCAACGCTCTTGACAGTGGGGACACCGGTGCTCTCCTGTGTCAAGTACAAAATCTGGATGATTGGAATGAAGCCCTCCAAATTTCTCATGCTGCTGGTCGCACCAATGTCACGGTTGTTCTTGAAGCTGCACCTAACATGTCTCCAGAACTTGGCAAATTGAGATATCATGGTTGGACAGCCTTGAACACACGTGCAGCTGGTTATGCCGATGATAAATTGGTCCAGCGCTTGGTTTGGATTGCGCGGTGCTCGCCAAATGCACCCACATTGGTTCCAGGATCCGTGCTGACAGGCGCCAGGCGGCCTGTTGTCCAGAAACACGGCCATGAAGAGTCTTTTGTTTTTCGAATTAGTTGTGACATGCGATTTATTGCCAGTGACAATCGCCATCATATCACACAGGGACCTGGGAATTTTTTTCGTTTGTGGCTGTCTGATTTAGGCCCAAACGCTAGGGATCTTCTGCTTCACCTTGGTGACACGTGGGGATTCCAAAAACTCGAGGCTGAAAACCTGGTTCGAGGATTTGCTCGCGTCAAAGGCAAAGACAGGGCCCTGCAGTTGATTAAAGCGAGCGGCTCAGAACACAAAGGTCAGGTTTGGTTTCTTGATCCTGCCAGATGGGATGGCCTCGCAGAAACACCTCCACGCATGCTTTGGGTGGACAAATTGGAAAATGAACAACAAATTGCATTTGCTCGTCGCGTAGCTCATGATTCGGGTCCTTTTGGCATGGCTAGGGGTCGTGTACAGCTGGCTCTCAGGGTCAAGCCAGACGATGAGCGGCTCAAACCCACTTCTAGTGTTTGGCGGGTTGAGACAGTGCCGTTTGGTTGGGATTTTGAAAATGTGGAAGAAACTCTGGTTGAAGCAGGTTTCTCTGAAATTGATATTTTAGCAAAGCAACGCCGTCGTGGTGGCACTGCTTGGGTTTTCAAAGGCATGAGAAATGATGACCGTGATCAAATGCAAATCCATTATGATGCGGACGAGACGTGCAATGAGCCACCATTAGATCTGTTTTTAGTTAAGCAGTCCAAACGACGTGCGCCAGGAAATGTCCAGCCGTTGAAAGCAGAAAATGATGTGCTCTTTTCACTAGATGCATTTCACAAAAAAGGTAAGGGTAAAGGCAAAGGAAAAGGCAAGCACAAATCCAAGCTTGAAGTGCCTGACTTTGCAACCACGCTTGCCTTACCGAAAAGTAGTCCACCTCCATTTCCCTCCAAGGATGATCGCGGTAACGAAGCTATGGATGTCAGTCTGATTAGCGTCCCAGATGCAAGTGATGTTGAGGATGAGCCCATGCATGTCCAGGGCACCAAACGCAAAGACCAGGCCATGTTGACCAGCCCGCAAAAAACTGGTCATGACAAAAAGAGGATGAAAGTGCCCGAGTGGCTTCAAAAAGTTCCGAACCCTGGGGAAGGGAATTGCTTGTTTTACTGTCTAGCTCAGGCGGAGTCTACCCCAGGTAAGTCCCGCAGCCACAGGCAGGTGCGTGCATTTGTTGTTGCCTACATGACCAAACACTTCAAGAAATACGAGGATTTCTGGGACGGTTTAAGCCCGAGCAACATTCCCATGGAGGGTGGGTTTGACGATTATTTACAAGCCCTTGAAAAAGATAAAGCTTGGGCGGGATATTGTGAAATCGAAGCATATGGCGAAGCCATGCGCCGACCTGTACTTGTTGTGCATGCCAAGGACAATGTTGTCCATGCTTTTAATAGTCATGGCGATAAGGATGTTGTCTGTCTCTGGTACAAGGATGAACATTATGAGCTTATTGTTCCTTCAGACGCAGATATTCAGGCCCTGTGGCAGAATGCTGAAGACGGTGGCACCAAGGGTTACCGCGGGGCCGCAAAGAAGGCACGCTTGGCTGCCGACAATGCCTCTATTTGCCTTTCACAATTTGCAACTCCCAAATCCAGCAGGCCAAGCCCAAGGTTGACCGATTTTGCCCAAAGCACCCCTGCCAAACGGAGTGCATGTCTGACTGATTTTGCATCAACGGCCAAACCGAGCCGTCAAAAGACCGAGCAATCAGAAGCCGAGCCATGTGGTTCCAACCCATCTGCCGCATCAGCTTCTGCGTCTGTTGCCACTGGGCGCGACCGGGAAATCACGTGGACATGTCACATTTGCAACGTCTCTTTCACTGACAAAGCATGCATCGTTTCAAAAAGACGTACGGATCACATTAGGCGTACGCATCGTGGTACCCCAACCACCAATTTTAAAAAGGCTGTTGATCAGTACAGGGCTCCGGTTACTGCCGTATCGTATGGGCCCACTCATGCTGCTGTTTCTTGGACTTGTGGTTTTTGCATGGGCACCCTCCCCATTTTGCCTAAGACACATCAGAAAGCATCAATCGTTGCTCATTTGCGCTCCTGCGCCAAGGCCCCAAAAGGGGCCACCAGAGGCGACTCCATTCTTCGCCTTTGCAAGAGAGCAAGCGTGTCACCTGATGTACCTCACAGAAGCATTTTGCCTTGGAAGCTGAAGCATCGCCAGATGTATGTGCAACTCAACAAGTTTGCCAAGGAGCAAGGACACTCCCTATCCCAAGTGCAGAGACGTACTACTGGAACGAAAAAATTGGCTGGTGGGTCGAAAAAAGTTATTTTCTTCATGGCTCAGCATGCTTGTTCCATTTGTGCTGGTTACTGGAAAACTGAGAAGTCCGTGAGAGCTGCAGGTCCTTGTGGCGGGCGGACTGCTCGTGCCGAGTGGTTAGCCATGCCTGGTCGCCAAAAATGCTGGCGTCAGGCTCCCAAAGAGCGCCAAGAGGCGCTGCACAAGGCTTGGCGTTTGAGTGCTACTGAGCGTAGGAAGCTTGATGATGCTTGGGCTAGCGCCAAGAAAAAGTCGCGCAAGAAGTGGCCGCCTAAGTCATGGAAACGCGATTTGACTGCTGAGAATATACACCCCCATCCAGGCCCAGGCCATCCTGACCACTGGATTCTCTCGTGGAATTGCCGTGGATCGTGCAATGCTTGGAGGGGCCTAAACTTGCTTCAGGATGAGGGTAATTTGCCTTCTGTTTTATGTCTTCAAGAGCCTGACTTCGAGCCTCGTCAAGGCTCCCAGTATGTTGAAAGGCTTCAGAAACTTGGGTACAAGTGTTGGACCATTCCGGCCAAACCTATTCGCACACTTAAACGTGAATTTTACCGAGGTGGTCTTTTGGTTGCATTGCGAGAGCATCTCAGAGGAGGCATCTGGGACACACTGGCTTGCGATGAAGGGTATGTCATGACTTTGGATCTTCAATCGTGCCTACTTTCCTCAGTTTGGCGCCGGCCAAGCCAACTTGATGGTTTGCAATTTTTGGAATATGTTGCTACGGTCACTGAAGAAGCACAACGCAGGCAGATACCTGCACTTTGGGTAGGTGATTGGAACGAAACTCCTGATGACAACGCCGCATCCATTTTCTTGAATGGCAGTGTTCTGGCTGTCACGGATCCTGATCAATGGGTGCCTAGCCGGTTCGAAGGTAAAAGATGTCTTGATTACGGAATTCTCAGCGGCGGGTACGGTTTTGCTGATTGCCCGCGTTACAGTGAATGTAAGATTTCTGATCACAAGATGTTTTGGCTTAGATTGCGCTTGCCCATTTTCCAGACTGATACGTGGAGGTTCGCTTGGCGGCCTAACTATGAATGTCCTCCGGAAGTGCCTGTTGAGCAATGGCGGGCCGTGCTTGCAGAACAATGGGCCGCTTACGTGCCATGTTTTTCTCAGGATCCCGACCAAGATTGGGAATATTTTCACCAGTTTGCTGAAAAGAGCATGCGTGAAGCATTGCACTTGTGTGGCCAGCCCGTGCCTAGGCCAGGCCATGCGCGCGGGAATTTGCCTCGTGTGATCAAGGCTGAACGCCCCCAGGTGAATACGTTCCCTGCCAGAAAACTTGTTAATGTGCTTGGTCGTCTCTATGAAGTGAAGCGACAGTTAGCCAAGTCCCAGGGAGACAAAAAGCTTTTGCAAAAATTATGGTCGACTTGGCCGTCTGAATACAATGAGCTTTGGGGGTCTTGGAACCACGCTATTGAAGTGTTTGAACAACGCATTGCGCTTGAAAACAGGAAGTCCAAGAACCAAAGGCTGACCGAGTGGCGTACCAGAATGCGCCAGGGGGGCAAAGAGGTGACCCGGTGGATGAAGCCTCACAAACCTCCAACACCACGCTCTGTTTCCGAAGATTCTTGCGCCACGATCACGCAAACCCTTGATTGTATTCGTTCTTTTTGGCAGCGTATTTGGAAACGTGATGACCTCGTTCCACACTTACCCCCAGAATTTAGAACAATGGAAGCCCTGGCTGGACCCCAAACTGATTGGATGCCAGATGCTGCCCTCATCCATCAGGCCGCTCTCAGAGCCTCGGGGTCTGCAGCCGGATGTGACGGTTGGTCCGGCAGCGAAGTTTGCCATTTCCCGCTTGTTGCTTGGGATCACTACCGTGATTTGGTTTTGCATTGGTCTCAGTTAAAACAATTCCCACAGGCATGGCTGCAGGTTCGTCAGGTTCATTTAAGAAAGGATGACGGTGGGACTGTAGGGTCTTTGCGGCCTATTGCAGTTGAAAGCATTTTTCTTCGGTTGGTCTCCTCATCTTATGTGAGGACCCCACAGGTTCAGGAATGGATTGCGTCTCGGGTCCCCGAGCAGTGCCATGGAGGCTTGAAATCCCGGGGGGTTGCCACGGCATGGAGGCAACTCAATGAAGCGTTTGAAAACCAGGAAGTTCTTGCTTCTTTAGATTTCTCCAAATGTTTTGATTTTGTCCACCCAGGTTTGGCCATTGAAAACATGCAACTGCAAGGGTTGCCAGATGAGTGGGCTAACATTTTGATGTTTGTATGGGGTCATCAAGTGCGATGGCTGTGCTTGGGGAAAGCTGTGCACCCAACGCCGGAGCATGTCCAGACCTCCATGCCGCAAGGTGATGCCTTTGCACCTCTGGCTCTTATCATGTTGCTCATTGGGCCCCTTCATGATGTGTCTTCCATTCCAGACTTGCGTCAGGTTGCATACGTTGATGATCGCGCTTTGAGCGCGCCTAATGTTCCACGTTTAATTGCTGGCATCCATAGATGGCGCAGCTGGAGTGCCACTTTGGGTCTCCATGAAAACGTTCAAAAAATGCGTTTAGTTGCCTGCACTGCGCAACAAAAGCAAGAGATCAATGACGCAGGGTTTGGTGAGTATCTCCGACCGGCCACTCGGGTCTTAGGTATTGACTTTAAGGAAAGTGACCTTATTGTTTCCCCTGTTCTTGAAAACCGTTTGCAAGAAGCAGTGTTTGCCGCTCACCGTTTGCAGAAATTGCCGGTTGCCCGCGATATCAGGATGTCTTTGTACAGGTCCAGAATCATTTCACTCGCCACCTGGGGCGCTTGGTTTGAACGATTGCCGCAGTCACAGTTGCCTTCGCTTCGAAAGGCATGGCATGCCATTTCCTATCTGCAAGGTAACGCTTCGAGACCTCTTTTCAACCTGCTTGTAGGTCATATGTATCATGCTGAGTTTTGGGCCACCATGTCTTCCATTCGGACCATGCGCCAAGTTCGTGCCCCTTGGCGAAGGATGCCACGACCTGGAGGCTGGCAGAGTTTCATTTGCGCACGCATGCGAGAGCTGAACTGGGAATTTCGCGGTCCATGGATGTTTGCACATGAGGATTTGGGTCATGTCGATTTATCCAATCCAGATGAAGCTGTTGTGAAACTCACCGAGCACAAGGTGAGAGAAAGTTGGCGCCGAGTGCAATTTGCCCTTTGGAAAAAGCAGAACCGCCGTGATAGGCATTATTTGCTTGATGTGCCGTATGAGGAAAGTCGTGTTTCCGATGCCCGCAAGTTGTTCTCTCTCACGTGTGATAGTCATCAGAGGGCCGTAATGCTTGGTTCTGCGCATTCCACGGCATGTTATGATAAGATGCGTGGACACGAAGTGAGGGAACAATGTCCCTTTTGCGGTGAGCAAATCCCACCTGTCTGGGAACATCTCTCCTGGCATTGCTCCGCCGAACAGTTGTCTTCCGGCCGCCCTGAGGTCCCTGAAGATGAATTGCAAAATCGTCTTGCTTGGCCCACACGTGGGTGTGATGCCTATGATAGAGCGGTTCTTCACCACATGGCCCGGGTCAGGGCCACTGTGCGTGAAAACATGAATTGATCATGTCCCGTTGGCTGCGGTGTCCGGTACCTTCGGGTATTTGAGGCATCCAGTCGTTCAACCCATAATAATATCGGCCCCTGCAGGAGCTGGGAAGACGTTCATAGCTGCACAATGTGCACTGGATAAGCTCAGAAGCAATCATGAAGGACACATTCTGTTCGTGGCACCTTCCATTGCCCTTGGCCTCTACTTCGTGCGGTGGCTCGCTCAGAGCCCTCCAAGCCGTGGGAAGCTTCATATTGTTGTTGAGGCGCATTGTGTTGATGGAACATCCATACCAACATTTTTTGAGCTTGCACGTTGACGGTGACCGCTTGGGTTGGACGACCTTGCCCGACAGCAAGATGCGATTTCTCTTGACCATCATCGATGAAGCACATGATATTTTCTGTACAGATGGGAACCGCACTTTTCTGGAAGAGAAGATTGAGGCACCACGACAAGTGCTGTTCTTGTCGAGCGTATCGCAAAACTCATTTGGTGCAGTGGACTTTCCACCAGCCAAAAAGATCACAATGACCCAAGTGGTGCGCAGTACGCAGAGGATCGTGGCTGGGGCAGCTGCATTTCAAGCAAGTGCGGCAGAGAAAGATCAGATCGGCTCATTATGCCCAGCTGGGCCCCCTCTGAAGGCTTTCCTCTTTGAGTCTGATGGACAGCTTTACGAAAACTATGCCGAACACACTGTATCTGCATTATTTTTTGTCATGTGCATCTACGCTGGACTCAGTTTGCACAAGCGCCTGGCGCTTTTGGTTCCCAACCCTGACTTTCTGGAGGAGTTCCGAGATGCGTTGCAAAGACATTTCTTGACGGCACACCTTGCAGGGCGAAACTTCAAGCTGATATCGTTTACTGAGTCGCTACGCATGCTCCCAAACGTCAAAGCGAAGCAGGCCACACATGCAGACAATGCAGAGATGATATTGCTGGACACAGTGGAGAATGCAAAGGGACTGGAGTCACTCATCGTGGTGTGCATTGGTCTTGATCAAAGAGTTGCTGACCAAAGTGCAAATCAGGTTGGACGTTCCATTATTTATCAGGCTATCACTCGGGCGCAGCTTCAGGCAGTGATTGTGAACCAGCTCCTCCGAGGAGGTTGGCTGGAATTCTTGGGGGTCACAAAATTCAAAAGTGATACCTTCAATGAATCCACAGCTATGGCCGAGACCACCACTGCTGCTGCTGAAGCCTTGACGAAAGTGCAGCTGCCATCGAAGTTGGCCGTTCAGGCCTCGCAGGAAAATTCATCGCCAAGAGAAGATGCCAGGGCGATCCAAAGAGATCCTCTGAAGCCGGATGCTGTGCCACCTTCAAAGCCAATGTTGGAAGAAGGTCAAGACCCCACAACTGCACCTGAGGCGGGTGACAAGCCCGATGACAAGTTGGTCGAGATCAAGGATTCATCTGTGTGGGATGCCGATGTCATTGACATCAAGGAGCCGATCTCACAGCTGCAGTTTGACCCTCGATCACCCACGGGACAAGCTGAGGAAGAGGTAGCATCCTTGGAGGTGCGGAAGTATCGGTGTCTCACACTGTACACTGTCTTTGAAGTTTTGAGAGGTTTGATATGGGGGCACCTGCTTTTCATGTAGAACATGCTGTTTGCTGCTGTGCCCAAGACCCTCTGTGTGAGTTTCTTGCGATGTTGCCCATAGCGGCAGGCTGAAGAAGTCCGAGAAGCCCGAGAAGCCCAAGAAGCTGCCGATGCAGAGGAAGCTGCAAAATGTCAGGGTCTTGGAGAGATTCTTCAGGATCTTACAGGATCTTGGGATATCTTGGGGTCTTAGAGGTTGAGATCTTGCAGATCATCGCTTTGAGATGCGAGATATGTTTTATAAAATTTCATAAAATGATAGCGTTGAACAGCAGGCAAATACGGATTGAGTGCAAGTTGGTTGAGATGTATTCAGATGTGAATATAGACTTAGTTGAGATCTTCGGACACTTTTTTGCAACAGTTCCGTGACCCGTTTCTGAGTCTCACAATGCCATGCCTCCAACCAGTTTAGATTTTCAATTTGAGATTATCACGTGGAGATGATGACACGATAGAGCAGATCGAAGATGGAAACAATGGAAGCCGCGCAACCTCACTGAGACATCATCTGTATTTGGAGGTGTGCGTTAGTTGTATGATCCACAATTCCACATCAGAGGGGCTGTGAATATAATTGGATCTAGTTTTGGCAGAGGCATTTGATCCCTTGCAAATGCCATGATGCGACCACACACCAATTACCATACAACTGATACAATCCACATACACACATTATCTGTACATATCTGTACTATATACAGTCATCACTTTGACACGAAGAAGATGGTAACACTCGCAGCTTGCATACGTAGATGTCAAAGATGGAGTACAACCTGACAAGACTAGTTTGAGACGCCAAGTGACCCCAGTGCCCTATGAGCAAGAGGAATTGGAAAATTGGATCCAGGGCCTGGCTCCACATGTGACGTTAAGATGCCAAGGGCCTTGGATCATAAGTTTGAGATGGTTTGAGATGATAACATGTTAAAGTTGAACAGCTGGAAAAGTGACCTCAAAACCAGATGTTTCATGATGTTTCTATTTTCGATAGTCTTCGTATGTCTTCGTTATATACAATCCAAGCATATCCAAGCCATACAATACACATCAATACACATCAATACACATCAATACACATCAATACACATCAATACACATCAATACACATCAATACACATCAATACACATCAATACACATCAATATACACATCAATACACATCAATACACATCAATACACATCAATACACATCAATACACATCAATACACATCACTACACATCAATACACATCACTACACATCACTACACATCAATACACATCACTACACATCACTACACATCACTACACATCACTACACATCACTACACATCACTACACATCACTACACATCACTACACATCACTACACATCACTACACATCACTACACATCACTACACATCACTACACATCACTACACATCACTACACATCACTACACATCACTACACATCACTACACATCACTACACATCACTACACATCACTACACATCACGACACATCACGACACATCACGACACATCACTACACATCACTACACACATCACATCACTACACATCACTACACATCACACATCAATACACATCAATACACATCAATACACTTCAATACACATCAGTACACATCAATACACATCAGTACACATCAGTACACATCAGTACACATCAGTACACATCAATACACATCAATACACATCAATACACATCAATACACCTCAATACACATCAATACACATCAATACACATCAATACACATCAATACACTTCAATACACATCAATACACATCAATACACATCAATACACATCAATACACATCAATACACATCAATACACATCAATACACATCAATACACACCAATACACACCAATACACACCAATACACACCAATACACACCAATGCACACCAATGCACATCAATGCACATCAATGCACATCAATACACATCAATACACATCAATACACATCAATACACATCAATACACATCAATACACATCAATACACATCAATACACACCAATACACACCAATACACACCAATACACACCAATACACACCAATACACACCAATACACACCAATACACACCAATACACACCAATACACACCAATACACACCAATACACACCAATGCAAACAAATCAACCAATACACACCAATACACATCAATACACATCAATACACATCAATACACATCAATACACATCAATACACATGAATACACATGAATACACATCAATACACATCAACACACATCAATACACATGAATACACATGAATACACATCAATACACATCAATACACATCAATACACATCAATACACATCAATACACATCAATACACATCAATACACATCAATACACATCAATACACATCAATACACATCAATACACATCAATACACACCAATACACACCAATACACACCAATACACACCAATACACACCAATGCACACCAATGCACATCAATGCACATCAATGCACATCAATACACATCAATACACATCAATACACATCAATACACATCAATACACATCAATACACATCAATACACATCAATACACACCAATACACACCAATACACACCAATACACACCAATACACATCAATGCACATCAATGCACATCAATACACATCAATACACATCAATACACATCAATACACATCAATACACATCAATACGCATCAATACGCATCAATACGCATCAATACGCATCAATACGCATCAATACGCATCAATACGCATCAATACGCATCAATACGCATCAATACGCATCAATACGCATCAATACGCATCAATACGCATCAATACGCATCACTACACATCACTACACATCACTACACATCACTACACATCACTACACATCACTACACATCACTACACATCACTACACATCACTACACATCACTACACATCACTACACATCACTACACATCACTACACATCAATACACATCAATACACATCAATACACATCAATACACATCAATACACATCAATACACATCAATACACATCAATACACATCAATACACATCAATACACACCAATACACACCAATACACACCAATACACACCAATACACACCAATGCACACCAATGCACATCAATGCACATCAATGCACCTACTACCATCCATACCATCAAATACACGTCAATACACGTCAATACACATCAATACACATCGATACACATCGATACACATCCATACACATCAATACACATCCATACACATCAATACACATCAATACACCTCAATACACCTCAATACACCTCAATACACCTCAATACACATCAATACACATCAATACACATCAATACACCTCAATACACCTCAATACACATCAATACACATCAATACACCTCAATACACCTCAATACACATCAATACACTTCAATACACATCAATACACATCAATACACCTCAATACACCTCAATACACATCAATACACGTCAATACACGTCAATACACCTCAATACACCTCAATACACATCAATACACATCAATACACATCAATACACATCAATACACATCAATACACATCAATACACATCAATACACATCAATACACATCAATACACATCAATACACATCAATACACATCAATACACATCAATACGCATCAATACACATCAATACGCATCAATACGCATCAATACGCATCAATACGCATCAATACGCATCAATACGCATCAATACGCATCAATACGCATCAATACGCATCAATACACATCAATACACATCAATACACACCAATACACACCAATACACACCAATACACATCAATACACATCAACACACATCAATACACATCAATACACATCAACACACATCAACACACATCAATACGCATCAATACGCATCAATACGCATCAATACGCATCAATACGCATCAATACACATCAATACACATCAATACACACAATACACATCAATACACATCAATCAATACACACATCAATACACATCAATACACTTCAATACACTTCAATACACATCAATACACATCAATACACTTCAATACACATCAATACACATCAATACGCATCAATACACTTCAATACACACCAATACACATCAATACACTTCAATACACTTCAATACACATCAATACACATCAATACACATCAATACACTTCAATACACATCAATACACTTCAATACACATCAATACACGTCAATACACTTCAATACACTTCAATACACTTCAATACACTTCAATACACTTCAATACACATCAATACACATCAATACACTTCAATACACTTCAATACACTTCAATACACATCAATACACATCAATACACTTCAATTAATACACGTCAATACACTTCAATACACTTCAATACACATCAATACACGTCAAGACACATCAATACACATCAATACACATCAATACACTTCAATACACTTCAATACACTTCAATACACATCAATACACTTCAATTAATACACTTCAATACACATCAATACACTGCAATACACTTCAATTAATACACATCAATACACTTCAATACACATCAACACACATCAATACACTTCAATTAATACACTTCAATACACTTCAATACACATCAATACACATCAATACACTTCAATACACTTCAATTAATACACATCAACACACATCAATACACTTCAATACACTTCAATACACTTCAATACACATCAATACAGTTCAATACACATCAATACACATCAATACACTTCAATACACATCAATACACGTCAATACACATCAATACACTTCAATACACATCAATACACATCAATACACATCAATACACTTCAATACACTTCAATACACATCAATACACTTCAATACACATCAATACACATCAATACACATCAATACACATCAATACACATCAATACACATCAATACACATCAATACACGTCAATACACGTCAATACACATCAATACACATCATACACTTCAATACACATCAATACCATCATACACTTCATACACTTCAATACACTTCAATACCATCAATACACATCAATACACTTCAATA